AATTTTTATGTAAAAATTGCACCTCCTCACACATTTAGCTAACATTTTTGAGGGTGAAGCAAATTTTAAACATGTAAGTAAATGTTATCTACAATACAAGAAAACAATAATTCTATCAAATTTGCAGCTAATAAAATGCTAAATTGGTAGTTTAATTTTTCAACCTCAACTTAAAAAAATTCCACCTTCCCCTCTCAAAAAACAACCCAGTTTTGAAAGGTAAGCTTCTCGTTCTCACTTCTTATTTCCTGTTAAAAGACATTCTTATCTTATGCTTAATCTGCGTTTGCTATTTCTGATCCTTTTCTCTGGAACTCTCTACCTTCTGTTCTAATCACTTCTTCATCACTTCCATATTTAAAAGCAGATCTCAAGACCCATCTGATTGACTGTTTGTGAAATTCATCGAGAAGCACTGTTGAACATTGTGGAATGGCACTTTAGAAACTAATTGACTAATTGATTGATTGATTTATCCAAGTATTATTAGTTTCTAATGGAAGTCATTTCCTTGTACTTTGCCATACCCAAAAATCTCAGACAAATTCCAGCTCTAAAACCTACAAAAAAATTGTTTCCCCAACAAGCTGACCCTTTTTAAAGTTGAAGTATTATAAATTAAAACCATACCCTTATAAAAAAAAAACCTGTGTGTATACAATTATACATACATGGGCAAAACTTTACATTAGCGCCTCAGTGCAAACGAAATTGGAGATAATAAGTGGAAGTGAGAGTAGGTTAAAGCGTAAATATGTTTAAAAGTGAATTGATGTTAAGACTATTAATTATTAGATTTATAAAATTATTTATGATTTAAAGTGAAAAACTGGAAATAATTTGTAAATATAGTAAAAATAAAACATCTTTTTAACAGTCACCAATTATTTAATAACTTTGTAGCGTTAAAATCGTAATTTTTGTATGCTTTTAAAGAGAAAGTTTTAACATTGTAGGCATTAAAGTGAACTCACATGCTTGCATGGTTATGTGCAGTTGGCATTAAAATAAACTTTCATGCATTTATTTGCACAAATTTTAACATATAAAACTTAACGAGGCATTAAAATAAACTTTTAAGCATATATTTGCATGAATTTTAACTTATAAAACTTAACATGTAGTTTTATAAGTTAAAATTCAACTTAACATGTAGCTGTCCTGGTTATGACATTAAACTGACCCTCACTGCCTTGTGAGTGATGTTGGATCATCAAAGGTTAGGCCCACTGCTTATAACTGTGGTTGCGTAAGGAAAGGCATCCTGCGTAAAAATTAGCCAAATAAATTACTTATGATGACAGAAGTGACAATGGTTTCATCATAGGTAGCCAAACGGCAACCCCCGATCTCGGGGAAAATGTCGTCTAAACGTGTGTTGTTGTTATAAAACTTAACATGTAGGCATTAAAATAAACTTCCATGCCTTTATTTGCACGTATTTTAACATGTATATTAGTACTTTTAATTATTATTAAATTTATAAAAATATTGATGATTTGAAATGAAATACTGAAAATAAGTTTTAAAAATATATAATTAAAACATATTTTTAACTGTCTCAATTATTTAATAACTTTGTAGGTTTAAAACCGCAATTTCTGTATGCTTTTTTAGGGAGAAGTTTATATACATTGTAGGCATTAAAGTAAATGCATATTGTTGCATGCTTTTGTACGGTAGGCATTAAAATAAACTTCCATGCAGTTATTTGAATGTGTTTTAGCATGTAAATTAACTAGTAGGTATTGAAATAAAGTTCCATGCATTTTTTGCAAGCATTTAAAAACACAATTCACCACGTAGGCATTAATGTATACGTGACACGTGGGCACTAAAATTAACTGACAATATTTGAATAAAAGCGTTTAGGTAGTAAGATCTTATTTTATCATATGCTTCCACAATGTTTAAAATTATATTTTTTCAAGCCATGCTTAGCAAGTAGACTTCGTTCAGAAGAGTTTTACAATTTTATCATATTCAATTTTAAATAAGCCAATCAATTTTGAAAAGTTATGTCCTAACATTACATTTTTGAAATAAAAAATTCTAATTTAGTTTATATATTTATCTAAAACAATAATTAATAAAAAAAAGTTAAACATAAAGAACAATTTGTTTATTTAGCGTTATTAATATAAATTCACTCTAATTCATTTATTTAGCCGTTTAGCATTATTAACATAAATTTACTTTTACACCTAGTATTCAATACCCTCCATTTACATCACTGTCTCAATATTTTGTTTGCATTGAGGCACTAATGTAAAGTTTTGCCCATACAGTACTAGTAATTAGTTCAGTATTTTTTGAGTGTGTAAAAAAGAATTACAATTAAAGATCAAACTATCAAACATTCATTTTTACACATATACACGAATTTATCAGAGATAAA